AGATGTCTGGCCTCCTTGATGGCAGTGGGGAGGTTTGGGGGTGTAGCTCAGGGGTAGAGTTATTGTCTAACATGCACAACCCCCCCAAAAAAAACTACATGTTCCATTCCCAGCACTGCAAAAAAGTTATGGGTTGAATCACTATAAATGGAATTCTTGAACGGGCTTTACAAGCAAGATATCACCATAAATCACTCCTTCAATGATTTCAGGGGTCATGGCAGGGTTGTGGGGAAACAATGGCCTCACCCCCCATGGGAGCCTCAGCATGTCTACACTTAGGTGTCCTTGGCCAGTTACTTAATCACAGCGCTCCTGGAAGTCAGATATGAAATTAGCAACTAAAATTTCACCTGGGGACCTGGAGCGGTTAAGAGCCCACACCCTGCTTGCAGAGGATCCAGGTTCAGTTCCCAGCACCTACAGGCACCTACTCACAGCTGTCTGTGACTCCAGTTCCAGGGGCCTTTTTTAGCCTCTTCTAGCACCACACACATACAGAGTGCACATACACACATGCAGGCAAAGCACAACATTGTAAACACACTTAAGCATGAGTTTTTCTGTGATGGAAGCTGGGGGTTTGGAGGGTGTTGCTGTGTGATGACATGTGCCCCTGGACTCCTGAAGGGTGGGGGAGGTAGGTGATGACTGAGTAGTGATGGCTTGTGGGTACTGTAAAGCAGGCTTCTTCCAGGAGTGGGGAGGAAGTTCAGAATCACCCATTCCCCTGGATCTGTCTTTCACGATGGCTTCTCAGCATTGGCCCTGGTTCTAGCCATCTGGAGTCCTGATTTTAGCCAAGTCACAGGTGTAGGAAAAGGCACACTTCAGTTTGCTGACATTGATCTGGCTTAGTTCTCGTTTCCATTGGTGGCAGAGAGGAGCATCGTTGTAGGTGGAAATTCACATCTAAATTTGCTAAGTACAGGAGCTTCAGTTCAGATCTCTAGGAGTGGCTATTCTGTGGCTCCAATAGTGCAGAGGGTAAGTTCAGGGGAAAAGTCAACCAGTGATGATTAAGTTGAAATAGTGTCCACTTCATGGTGGTAAGAATGAGGAGGGGCAGGGAGGGGCAGGGAGGAGCCTCTTGGGGAGAAGGTAATATATTACTAAGCAAAGTGCTGAGTTAAAACCCGATGACTTAGAGCAGGCTAAGGAGGCCCTAGAATTGTAGCCAGCCAGAGTGACACAGTAAGACAGACAAACAAAACTAATCCAGTCAGAACTTTGAAGAAAATGGGGGCGCATCTTCATCTCTCCTTCAACTCTATAGACCACGCTGGTCTCCAATTCACAGAGATTCACCTGCCTCTGACTCCCAAGTGCTGTGATTAAAGGTGTGTGCCACCACCATCCCGGCCAGATAAACTTCTTTTTGTAAGTAGATCATCTCAGCATTTGGTTACCAAAGCAGAACATTGGCTAACACACTCCTCCATCAGTGGCTAGATGGGTTTGTCTGCCCCCACCCCTGTCTGGGATGGTCACTGTTAGAATGTATCTAGACTATAAAACCACCTACTTTGAGGAGGCTTAGCCACATGAGTTTGAAAAGCAGCACCACCAGAAGTGACAGGACACAGTGGATGACTCTGGAGCAGTTTGACCTGGGGAAGCTGTCAAGTCGGAGGCCAAGTTTTGCATGGTCTCTTTGGAGTCAATGGCTGCAAAGGAAGGCACTCGCAGGGACTTGTGGCTTAGGGCTTTTGTTTGTTTTTCAGTAAGAGAGGTCAGTTTTAAATGAAAAAAAAAAAAAAAAATGAGGACCTGAGTGTTCCTTATTATGGTTGAGGAGAAGGTTTTTTTATTGTAGATATGAAGGAATGAACAGCCAGGGCATCTGGAAGAATCCAGACTGAACTGGGCCATGGGAGGGAGTGGGGGGGGTGGAGAGGAAGAGAAAAGAGTGGGGAGCAAGCAGACCGAGGAACCTTGGGACCAAAATAGCTGAGTTATTATGTAGGGGCCAGACCAGAAGCTAAGGGGAAGGGAAGTCCAGCCCCTGGAGGGAGGGGTTTAGTGTGAGAAGTGCTGGGGGGAGCCATAGGTACTGACTGAGACTTGACAAGTTTCTCTGAGACCTGACAAGTTTGCCACAGCACAAGGAATTTAGGGGCCAGAACTTTTTTTTTTTTTTTTTGGTTTTTTGAGACAGGGTTTCTCTGTATGGCTTTGGATCCTGTACACCTCTGTAGACCAGGCTGGCTCAAACTCACAGAGATTCGCCTGCCTCTGCCTCCCAAGTGCTGGGATTAAAGGTGAGGACTACCAATGCCCAGCTAAGGGGCTAAAACTTTAATCAGTGTGAGGCATTTAAGAATCAAGTATGTGATAAAGTAGATTTGTATGTTGTGAGTGATTATGCTTGGAGACAAGTGACTACCATCTGGGGTTCAGTTGTGTCTCTGTGCAAAAGATTTATTCCATTCAGGCTTCTTGACTATTTACACCCCTTCGTGGAGGGTTAAGGAGAGTCACAAGACCCACACATGGGTATCAGCAGTTCCCTATATATGAAATTCTGCCTTAAGTGCATGTAGCTTTGGAGAGGAGCTAGAGTATATAAAGGCCAGGGAGCACAGTGGAGGGGGTTCTGTCTATGAAACTATGGGAGACCTGTATACTTGTTGGTTAAAGCCTCTCTGTATATGCATGACATATGGCAGGGTGCGTGGAGACCGGAGGGCTCCCTGAGTGAACGTGTGTTGTTGACAGGGACTCCATAACCTCAGACTCACTGGAAAATGGTAAAGCCTTCCCTGCTAGGGTGAGATCCAGAGTGACGACAAAGCCTTCTTGGGTCTGGGTATTGATAGTGCGTACAGAAAATGTCTACCAAAGCTTTCCTCTCTGGGTGTTTGTAGCCTGAAGACTGCTCCTACTGAGATTAGCTAAACAGGCCACCTTGTTTAGCTGTGTGCATTAACCCCGCCTCTCTGTCCTGCTCTATATAATGAATATGTTCATTTTCCTGGGGTGCTGCAGCTTCATTAGAGAGCCTGGCCCACCTGCGTTTCTGTAGGTATCTGTCTTTCTTCATTCTCCTGCTGCCCTAATCACGTCTACTCCTGAAGCCATGCTGGATGTGGCCAAGAAGAAGCCAGCCTATAAGCAACCCTGTATCTACACTCTGTAGGGAAGCCAAATAAACTCATGGGTTCTCCTAGAGTAAATGCTGGGAGAACTGTGCCTCAGTTTGTCATTGGTACCCCAGGAGGAGGGATGGAGACAGTTCATGTCTTCCTCCTGGGAAGGAATTTTAGCAACAAGATATAAAGACCCAGCATAGCTTTGAAACTGATCTTGGTGTGGTTTAAGCTACTAATCTTATTTAGCAAATATGTTATTTGCTAAATACTTCTCACTGTCACATCAGCTCTTCAACAGGGTTCAACAAGTCTGTGTTGTTTCTTATTTTAGCCTATTCCTGGCCCCAGCACAGCTCTGCTCATCCAGACATGAAGACTGTTTCCACAGTGCAGTGAAGGCCTCCAAGGTGCATTCCTACAGGACACGTGGTTTGCAAGAAAATAAATACACAAAAGGACTGGGAGTGAAGATCAGAGGCACACTGTGCACTTAGCATAGGCAAGGCTCTGTCTGCAGTCCTCTGCCTCGGGGATGGCTCAGTGGTTAAGAGCACTGGATACTCTTGCAGAGGACCCAGGTTCAACTCTTAGCATCCACAGGGTTGCTCACAACCACCTGTAATTCCAGTTCAAAGAAATGGGACACCCTCTGATGGCCTCAGCTAGCACTGCACACACATGAATATGAATAAATGGAAATGAGGTCGTTCGTGAATTCAGCCTGGTTGGTCTAAGCCTGCATCCTGTCTTCACAAGCTGCCCCCAGCCAGTAATTAGGGACCAGTGACACTGGTCCCTCAGACTCAATGAGCTCTCATGAAGCTACTTAGGCTCTGTTGACTAAGCCTCCACTGGTGTGGAAATGCCCTTGTGTGCTTGAACAGCAGTGTTAGCAGTTATTTTGATCTTCTGTGGATATATTCTCAAATTTTTTTAAAAACTGTATCCTATATATTTAACATTTGTCATAAATTTAGTAATCTCAGAGAACGTAGTTTGTACTCAACTGTGAATACAAATGTTGAAATAATAGCTTTATTACCCTTTAGAGTGTTTTTGCTTAAGTTGGGTGTCTTGGTGGGCTTGGACATTGTCGGGATAGAGGAGTAGAGCACCTGCCCTAGACCCTTCCCCTGAATCTCTCCCCCATCACTTTCACCAACTCCATTTTCCTGACCCTCCAGTTGTGGGGGTTTGAATGAGAATGTCCCCCAACAGGCTCACATAGGGGAATGCTTGGTCTCCAGCTGAACTGTTTGGGAAGGAATAGGAGGGGTGGCCTTGCCAGAGGGGGTATGTCACTTAGAATGAGCCTTAATGTTTCAAAATGTTGTTCCCAGTGTTCCTCTGTCTCTTAGCTGTGTCTCAAGAAGGAGTGCCTGCCTGCAGTCATACTTCCCCGCCATGCCTCTTATAGACTCTAAACTTCTGAAAGTCTAAGCCCCTAATGGACTCTTCCATAAGTTGCCTTGGTCATGGTGTCTCATCACAACAATAGAAAAATAACTAAAACAGCAGCATAGTGGATCATGCTTGGAGCAGGAAGACTAAGAAAAGGGGAACACACAGATCTCAAGCAAGGCCTCTGGGTTTTGCTGTGGAGACTGCGAAGGCTGCTCTCTCATATAACTAACTGGACAATTTCCTTCAGAGCTCCAGATGCCCACCCATGAACACACATTCTCTCTTTAGACATGTTGGATGTATCTATTTCTTTGTGAAATGACAAATGCATTATCCTCCTTCCCATGTCTGGTAAAGACAGGAAAAGGAAAGAATTTATCTTTCTCAAATATGTCAAGGATCCAAACAAAGTTGGGAAGGGACTCCTGGGGGGGGGGGCGCAGAATAGGAAGCAGCTCAGGTCTCCTCTGAAGGGTGCAGTCCTGGGCTTCTGGGTGGCACTTGTTATTTCCCGTTCATCTCCATGACCCCAGCGATTACTGGTCTCCTCCAGGACCAGGTAGGGCTCCCTGGAGGCGTATGGGTTTCTCCAGGAGAAAGGTTGGAGTTGTGGGGGTTGTAGAAAGCTATGTCGGCACCATTTCTCAGAGACAGGTATCTTCTCTAGAAAAAGAGCCCATAGTGTAAGAACCATGTCTCCCTCTTCCAGGCCCTTACCATGGAAGACTCTGCAAACATCCCCGTTCCCCACAGGTCTTCCCCCATGCTCCAGCCATCTCCTCCTCGCCTAGGACTCCTCCAGCCCACTCATGTTCCTCCTTGCACTCTTTACCCAGACTCTGTGGTTTATTGAGATGTGGATACACCCATCAGATCATGTGTTTTTACTTGTAATTCTCCCCATCTCTACTCCCTCCCTATCTACTTCTTCTGAGTTGGGAACTCTGGAACCCACCACCCCTCCATTCCCTAAGCACCCCCTTACAAAACAGGCACTCACCACGAAAAAAAAGACCCCAGCAAAGAGTGCCAAGGCCATGACAACAGAGGCCAGGGCGATGAGGAAGATTTCCCAAGGCTTCAGGGCCCCCCTGGATTTCACCTCTTTCACTGGAGGTGCAATTGGGTGGGTGTGTTTGGAAGTGGTGTATGTTCCAGTAGACACTGCCAGGTTAGAACTGCTATGCGTGGTTGTCCAGCCAGAGTCAGAGGCGGTGTTGGTCCCAGCTATGGCTGAGGCGGGTGTAGAGTCTGAGGCGGTGCTGGTCCCAGCTGTGGCTGAAGCGGGTGTAGAGTCGGATGTGGTGCTGGTTCCAGCTGTGGCTGAGGCGGGTGTAGAGTCTGAGGCTGTGCTGGTCCCAGCTGTGGCTGAGGCGGGTGTAGAGTCGGATGCGGTGCTGGTTCCAGCTGTGGCTGAGGCGGGTGTAGAGTCGGATGTGGTGCTGGTCCCAGCTGTGGCTGAGGCGGGTGTAGAGTCGGATGCGGTGCTGGTCCCAGCTGTGGCTGAGGCGGGTGTAGAGTCGGATGCGGTGCTGGTCCCAGCTGTGGCTGAGGCGGGTGTAGAGTCTGAGGCTGTGCTGGTCCCAGCTGTGGCTGAGGCGGGTGTAGAGTCGGATGTGGTGCTGGTTCCAGCTGTGGCTGCGGCGGGTGTAGAGTCAGAGGTGGTGCTGGTTCCAGCTGTGGCTGCGGCGGGTGTAGAGTCCGATGTGGTGCTGTTCCCAGCTGTGGCTGAGGTGGGTGTAGAGTTTGAGGCTGTGCTGGTTCCAGCTGTGGCTGAGGCAGGTGTAGAGTCGGATGCGGTGCTGGTCCCAGGTGTGGCTGAGGCGGGTGTAGAGTCTGAGGCTGTGCTGGTCCCAGCTGTGGCTGCGGCGGGTGTAGAGTCGGATGCGGTGCTGGTCCCAGCTGTGGCTGAGGCGGGTGTAGAGTCTGAGGCGGTGCTGGTCCCAGCTGTGGCTGAGGCGGGTGTAGAGTCGGATGCGGTGCTGGTCCCAGCTGTGGCTGAGGCGGGTGTAGAGTCTGAGGCTGTGCTGGTCCCAGCTGTGGCTGAGGCGGGTGTAGAGTCTGAGGCAGTGCTGGTCCCAGCTGTGGCTGCGGCGGGTGTAGAGTCAGAGGTGGTGCTGGTTCCAGCTGTGGCTGAGTCGGGTGTAGAGTCTGAGGCGGTGCTGGTCCCAGCTGTGGCTGAGGCGGGTGTAGAGTTGGATGTGGTGCTGGTCCCAGCTGTGGCTGAGGTGGGTGTAGAGTCGGAGGCTGTTGTCTTGTCAATGGTTTTTATTGTTGGACAGTTCAAGGTTGTTCTGCAGTTAATGCTGGTATTTACTGTGGTATAAGAGAAGGTGTTTTTGTAGATATAACCACGAATGATAACTGTCTAAGTTAAACATCCTTGCTTTGTGCTCTCTGCTTTGTCAAATTAATTTCTTGGGTGATTTTATTCAGTGTTCATGACTGATCTATGGACACAGTTATTAATTATTATCTAATGAAGAATTAGAAATATTTATGTGTGCCTGGTGCCTGTGGAGGGCAGAAGAGTGTGTTGGATCCCCTAAAGCTGGAATTATTGATGGTTGTTGGCCACCGTATGCATTCTGGGAATGGAACCTGGGTTCTGTGGGAGAGCAGCCAATGCTCCAAACTACTGAGTGATCACTCCAGCCACATGAAAACATCCAAGTTTTGCCAAGCATAGGCAAAACCATGTACTTGAGCCTCAACACAGATGTAAATACACACACACACACACACTCTACACACATGAGAGACAATTTTTTTCAGGTAAGTGGATAAAAGTTATATATGTGTATATAAATATATAACATATTCTGTTGCTGTTATAAAATACCTCAAGGAGAGCAATCTTAGAGGAAGGATTTATTCACAATTCCCAGTTATGGTCCTTCCTGTGTGCTGGGATAACAGGTCCCCAGGCCTTATAGCACTGTCCTGGGGGCTTCTCACATACTGCAGTAACCTAGCCTTCATTGAAGCATATCTGAAGCTTCCAGTGAGAACCAAAGACCACCGGGGTCTTTTGTCTTCTGCTCTTTTGTAGAACCCAGAAGGTTTTCACTGACGTCTACTTGAGACAGCGCTTTCTTCATCACCTTCTCACAGAGGCAGCCTTGATTTGTTTGTTTGTTTGTTTGTTTTGGTTTTTCAAGACAGGTTTTCTCTGTTGCTTTGGAAGCTGTCCTGGAAATAGCTCTTGTTGACAAGGTTGGCCTCGAACTCACAGGGATCTGCCTGCTTCTGCCTCCCAAGAGCTGGGATTAAAGGTGTGCCTCACCACTGCCTGGCTTAGAGCCTTGATTTTTATGATCACTGTTGTCTTTGTAATTAATTTGTGATAAGTCAGTTATCTTCTGACCATTTCTCATTTTTAGACAGGGCCTTTGCCAAATAATCCTGGCTGGCTGCTGAGACCTCAGACACAAGGGACTACACCCGGCTCTGCTTGTTTAATTTTATCTTTCTGTGTGTGTGTGTGTGTGTGTGTGTGTGTGTGTGTGTGTGTGTGTGTGGAGTTTCAAGCCCAGGGCCTCTCATATGCCTATGCAGGCACTCTACGCATGAGCTATACTATAGCTTTCTTCTTTGTTTTATGCTGTGTTATTTCCAGATAGGGTCTCACCACATTGACCAGGCTACTGTTGGACACGCTGACAGCCCAGATAAACCTTGCCATCCCAGCCCCACCAGTAGCTGGAATTACAGGACTGGCCACCAGCCCCAGGTTGGTGTTTGGACAATGTTCTTGCTCTGAGGATGACTTAGGCTGCTGTGGAATCAGAGTTACAGACAGGAGGGAAATTCAATGTCAAGAATATGAAAAACTGAAATTAAGAAACAGCTCAGGACTGGAGAGATGGCTCGGTGGTTAAGAGCACTAGCTACTTGCTCTTCCAGAGGACCCAGGTTCAGTTCCCACCTGTACCCTGTACCCACATGGCAGCTCACAGTTGTCTATAACTTCAGTTCCAGGGGATCAGATGCCCTCACACAGAATATATACAGGCAAAACACCAGCACACATTACATAAATAAATAAATATTTAAACAGTTAACTTTTTTTTCTATTTAAACACTGACCCACACTACACGTTATCACCCTTTCACAGACATGTAAACTGAGGCACAGGGAAGCCAGTCCTCCACAGTGTGGTTAGTGGAGCCATGTCTTAGGTTGTAGGCAATGTGAGACCAGAGCCCACAGTGTAGCCACTGACTCATGGGTGATGATACAATGTTTCCCTGAAGAGATGAAATGATGAATCTCTTCTCTGGGGAGAACTAGAGTTTGTCACAGCCTCCCCCACCTCCTCAGAGGCTCTCAGATCGTCCACATTTAGACAAAACTACTTACTACCTCCTAAAAGCAGGAACTGCACAAGCAGCCAGCACTGGAAATTGCTTCCCCTCTGCATCCCTGTGAAGGCACCTGGGTCCCAAATGCAGCCAAGTTCTAGAAAGTTCTTGAAGAAGATGAGATGATGATGAGCTCCCGGGAGCCCTGTTCTTCTAAGAGCTTTGTTCCTGGGAGGCCGGGGAGGCAGATGCCTTAGCTGCTAAGTCTCCTCAGTGATAGGCTGTCTTGTCTTTCTCATCATCAAAATGCTCCTGCCACCTTTATAGATTCCTGTGGGCCAGGGAGAGGCTGACAGACTGTGAACCATGAGTACCTAAGGAAACAGAACTAAGCCTGGGAAGGCATCGGCCTAAGGGTCAAAGGGATAGTACAAAAAAAAAAAAAAAAAAAAAAAAAAAAAAAGCGTGACATGATTACACCGGGCTGGGTTGAAACAGGAAGAGAAAAAGGAGCTCAAGAGTGTCAGGAGGGACCCACCCCTGAGGCAGGGATGGGGTCAGAAACCTGCTCTAGTTCAAGATTTTGTTTCCTGGTCCAAGAAATTCTGTGGTTTGGCTTGAGCAGAGAGGAAGCCCCAAGGATCTCAGCTGAAGAGCAGGACCCTATTGATTCCAAAGGAAGCAGTCATGAGGGAGCTGGGCTCCTGGGTTGCAGGTGTTGAATCAATAGAGGAAGAGACTGCCATCCGTAGTAAACCTGTCTTTGGGTTCTATCTTTGTTCATTTTCTGCTATAACAAAGTACCTGTCCTAGTTTGATTTCTGTTGCAACTTGGGGAGGAGAAGACTTATTTATTTGGCTCACACTTCCAGGTCATAATCCACCACTGAAGAAAGCCAGAGTAGAGACTCAAAGGAGGTTGAAGCAGAAACCATGGAGAAAGGCTGTTCTCCTGCTTTGCTGTCTGGCCTCCTTGATGGCTCATGCTCATGCTCAGCTAGCTTTCTTATACAATGAAAGCCCACCTGCCTGGGGATCCTGCTGCTCCTGTATCAATTAATAATCAAGATGGTTTCCTACAGACATGCACAGGCCAGTGCATTCTAGGCCATTTCTCCATCCAGACATCTCTCAGATGATGCTAGGCTGTGTTAAGTTGACAATTACAGTCAGTCAGGACAATTTCTGAAGCTGGATACTTTATTAAAAAAAAAAACTGATTTAGCTCATACTTTAGGAGGCTCAAAGTCCAAGATTGGGCAGCCCCATCTGCTTGCCTGAGGGGACAATATGGCGGTTAATGTCATGGTGGCCCCTGTGAGCGGAGCATATCACATGGTGAGATATGAAGAAAGGGATTTTAGGAATATGCCAGGTTCTCTGATCACACCTGCTCTCTCCAGAGCCAGAAAGCCCACTCCTATCATGAGAAAGCATTTATACCCCTCAAGATGTCAGTCACCCAGCTGACCTGATAAGGAGGAGCTCATGGACCCCCAGACTGATAGCTCCTCAGACTAAGGCAAGAAGAGCCTTCTGTGACAAGGGAGGTTCTAGGTTTCCTGTAACTCTACAGCTGAAAACTTGATGGCTCTCCAAGAATGGGACCTTGCCAGCCCAATCCAGACTTAGCCAGAGGGAAGGATCTTAGATGCAAATTCAGAGTCTATGGCTTAGCAGCTTTCTGAAAGCTGTGCCATGTGTACTGATCAGAATCTAAAAGTAACTAATCTCTTGTGCTCACAACAGGGGACTTGGAACACCTTGATAATTCTCATGACTCATCTCACAGGTCACACCTAAATGCCATAAGCACTTTCATTCTGTCTTTTGAGATCTGTGAGTTTGTTTGCTTCCTGAGACAGGGGCTTGCTACGCAGGCCAGGTGGGCCTCAAACTACAGACCCCCCCAACCCCTGCCTTATCCTCCTGTTGTTAAGTGTGCACCATCACACCCAGCAAATTTCTTGCCTGTTTGTGTCTGTGTGGTGCTTGGGGTAGAACCCTGAGCCTTCTGCATGTCATCCAGGGCTCTACACCTCCACAGAGCTACGGCCCCCAGGCTTAAATTTTACTTTATTTCTTTTCCTTTGTGAGAAATTAATGTTACTAGTTTACATGTCATCAAACATTGTCACACAACTACATGAAGATGCAAGGGAAACTGAGGAATACAACTTGAGCAACCTTACTGGGTATGACAACACATGTCTACAATGCCAGGACAGGGGAGGCAGAGGCAGAAGAATACAGGGTTCAAAACCAGCCTCTACTACACAGTAAGTTCAGAGCCAACCTAGGTTACATGAAACCCTCTCAATACACATCTAACCCACCCCTCAAAAACAAAAGCCCAACACCAAAGGTGTCTAGGGATGTTTGTGGGTAGCTCTGAAGGCACCACACACATTTTAAACCCATTTACTTTATAGTCTACATTTAATGTTTCTAACATCGAAGCTTTTGTAGACTGAAACATACTTTATTTCATGTTTGTTTGCATTGAAAATTTCTAATACTGTGTTGATATCTCTTAGAGTATCACCTGTAGATGTTATCTGAAGGCTGAGCTGAAGGAATGACCTTCCTCAGAGAATGTGCATAATTTTTCTAAGCATACACTGGTATGGCCGTTTGAAGATTCTTTAAGTTGGGTTATAAAACTGAGGTCTTAATCGGGAGGTGGTGGCACACACCTTTAATCCCAGCACTTGGGAGGCAGAAACAGGAGGATCTCTGTGAGTTCAAGGACAGCCTGGTCTACAAAGCTACACAGAAAAACTCTGTCTTGAAAAACCAAAAAAAAAAAAAAAAAAAAAAAAAAAAAAAAAAAAGTCTGAGGTCTTTTCCAGTGCTATGACTCCCGCTGGAAGTCATTTTAAATACTGCTGTGTTTACTGTTGGTTTCTCAAGGCAACACCTTCCTTATTTACCCTTCCCTGTGCCATGCCTACAGGCGGGTGGTTTTACTTGTATTCTAGGAAGGATGAGTTTCATTTTAGTTTGTGTTC